ATCGATGCATCGATACTAAACTATTATTATTTACACCCTTATCAAAGATTCACCTGGATGTTCTTTTCAGAAGTGAAATTAAAAATAATCTACACTCGCCAGACGGCCTGAGTAGTAAAAATTGAATGCATCCTTCAGAGTTCATATCCGTAATAAATCTGCTGGAAACTCTGGCTGGTCTGCTGTCACAGTTTCCACAAACACGGCAGGAGAGACGTGCTGGAAAAACACATGATGCAGCGAAGCAGCGTGACTGCAGCCTGGAGCTGTGGTCAGTAAATAAACGGCAGCCGTTCATTTCCTACGGCTCTGCTCAGATCTGCAGCCTTGGTTTGTTTCATCATCTAACATTCTGGTCTTTAGGAGCGTCATCAGGTATTGGGATGTCCATGATGCATCAGTATGATACAGAGCATTAATGAAAGGCCCTGATATACAACAGAGTAGTAAATATTTCATCCTCACAGGACTTATTCCTGATTTTACTCATATGAATACCATGAACAGAAAGCTTATATGTTATATCAAATAAATTAGTTTTTAGAGTCCTACAGACGACTCAAAGCTTCTAACATTAGATCCACGTTCACTGATGAACAGACTAGTAGGTCGTCTGCATTAAGAGTCTGCTTCTACATTTCTAACCATCAATGTTTTATTTCGATGAAGCATCACAGGAAAGACAAACAATGAAATGCAAAGAAAACACTTTTAAATAAAGTTTTATTTGAATCTTTTTTTCAGGATAAAGTGTTTTAACTCTCAACATTCCTTTGACATTAGATAGATGCCACTTAATGAGATCATGCATCCGAGGAGCTACAGAAAACCGAAGCTTAAAAGGGAAATAAGATTTTCATTTAACATTCAACGGTACGCAAGTCAACAGTAAGAAAAATATGTTTTTAAGGAAAAACGACAGCCTGGCCAACTAGACTTATAAATGCTCAGTATCTTCTCTCTAAAACAGAATGGATTAAGGATGTTAACTAAGAATTGACTCAAGTTTAATTGTTGATAAATGGTTTATTCAGGGCTCGATGTGAACCATTGCCTACGGAAGAGGATTAGGGCCACTGAAAAAAAAAAAGTTAACTGATTTATTTTATTTTATTTCAGTATGGTATGGGAAAAAATTTAGAATTCTGACTTTTTTTCTCAGAATTCTGACTTTTTTTCTCAGAATTCTGACTTTTTTT